GAGACAGTTGAAATTTCTAGGGCACATAATGAGGAAAGAGGGCTTGGAAAATTTGATACTCACAGGAAAGATTGGAGGTAAGGAGAGCAGAGGGGAGCAACACAGCCTATCAGGCGAGCTGGAGAGAATAGAATATTAATGGGAACTTGAGAAAGATCCAAGATTTTTGATTAGCATAATCGTCAACGTCCTGAAGGGACACAATAAAAAAGAAGAAGAAGAAGAAGAAGAAGAAGAAGAAGAAGAAGAAGAAGAATTTGAAAAAGAAATAGGGTTTAAGTACATGGATGTTTAAAAAAAAACTGAAGAATATTGAAAATTTGAATTTTGTCAACTTAGAATTATTTTTATATATATCCATTACCAACAATACCTATTTATACTAGTCTAGCAGTATAACCCGGTTTCAACCGGGTCTTTCATTACTGGGAATTTTTGCCATTCAATTGGAGCAGTTTAAGTTTAAAGTCAGCCCACCTGAAAATCAATATTAGTAACAACAATTGCGTGCAACTGAGGCATATCCCCAAATGAGGGCTAATACTTTGAATGGCGGGGTGGCCATGAGAAGGGGACAATCTGAACTCAAAACCAGCACTGAAGAATTATCTATCAGACAAAAAAATATCATTAAAATCTGATAAAAACTGTGGAAATGCATAAAAAGAATCTAATCCCACAGACACATAATTACAGACAGACAAACACATTTTGAGAATTATAGATATAGATTTACCAAAAATTCATTTTATAGCTAAATGATCAACAATACGTTTTATTTGTAGTTGACTGTATACAGTTGCAATCAAAATATATTTAGTTGAAACCATAAAATTATGTTCAAAATATTTAGATTACGGCATTAAATAATCACTAGAGGTTTTATATGCTGCTAATCAAAATTAACCAACATCTCGGCTTCAGTCACTTTCTCACCATTGGCGCGTGGCTTGCTTTTGCTTCTTTCTATAAATATTTTCATAATTACTATGATGAGATTCATGGTTGTACAGCTCGACTTTACGAATTCATGAAGACCGAAAATGAAGTGCTGCTGCCATATATGGGTAAGAGTTACTGTCCAGTTTCGGTAGAGTCCAAAAGCGTCCTCGTGGATAATTGAGTATTTTATATTTTACAGCTCCTTTGTCACGGACTAAACATCGCGAGAGTTTGGCTGTTCAATCAGCTAATTTCATATCCATGAAAACGAACTACATTTTTATTATGGTTCTAACCTTCAAGAAAAAGACCCCACCAGAACGCATATTTTGGCGAACTACAGGGCTTCTATTCGTATTCCATCGGTGAGAATAAAACCATGCGAGCACTATCTTAAATTTTACCACTGCTTTGTGGAAACGACTCCCTAGAGGATACTTCTCTGATCAATAAATTCTTATGTTAATTTCTAGGGCCAACTGATATCTTCCTCACCTAACCCCATAAATTGTGTCTCTTGATCTATAACCCGGACTCTTGAGAAAAATACGTGATTGGTAGTTCTAACTGATAATTTTACAGTTGAAATGACTAGATGTAACCGTAAGTTCTATGCTAGCAATTTCTTCTCACGAAATCTCTTCCAGTTTGTTGCCTTCCAGTCAACTTAGATCTTCGAAGATTTAAACATAATATCAATCACTATCTGTCCTCGGGAATTCTATTCTCCTATAGGTCTCTCAATTTAATAAAGTGTTTTTTTTTGTTTGTTTGTTTTTTTTTGTTTTTCTTTTGTTCTCAGGCTTTTTCACTCTCAGTAACCACTTATTTCTGATGGATTGATCGCCTGGTTTGGCGTGAAATGATTTTAAAAGAAATATTTTTATTGGGGAGGAAAACTTTATTTAGCTTGACACTTTTCTCCCCGAAAGAGGTGATTGCGATAAAATGCTAGCGAACTTAATCTAGTTCGCTATTCGAAATGACCTTAGCGCGCATATACTCGTATATACTTGAAATGTTGCACTAGAATAAACCAATCCGTGTTCATATGTATACGTATATCCTTCAGACATCAGATACATTTTAAGTCTATTTCTTTTTTGTTGTTGATTTTTTTTATGTAAAGAAATTCTCCTTTGTGTCTCTTCCATGTGGTTTCATCGAAATTTTTCGTCTTTCTTCTTTTCAGTTTCCATCCACGAAGCAAGCTGTCACAGTTTTGAGTTTTCCCGGTCGTAGACGTCTTACAGCGATTGGTTACGCGCGTATTTCCAATAGACGGGACACCTGTCAGATGTGACAGGCGACAAGACATCTAAGAGTTATTACCATCTAGCAGAAAATAAAACAGGCATCCTGGTGTTCTGAGTGTCCTTTTCTTGAATAAATCATTGCGTTTTTGTGTGTGTATATGTATATGTGAGTGGGTATTGTGTGAGTGTACGTGCCTGTGTTAAAGTGAAAGTGAAAGTGAAAGTGAAATTGAAAGTAAAAAGCAGAGCGAGAAGGGAATCGAGATCAAATCAATAAATGGATGACAGGATAGTTGTATAATTGTTCAAAATGTTAAAATATTAATTTAATATATTTTAAACATGTTATTTATTATTAAATAAAGGTTCTTTTTAATCGATAAAATGTTGAAATTGTTGGGAAGATGGTTTTCTATATTAAATTTTCTCGAATCTGCTGGCCGATAGACATAATATACAGGGTTTGAAATAAAAAAAAAACAAAAAAAAACGAGACGTCTGTTTTAAACAAGGATATCTACTAAAATATGGGCTGAAATAATAAAAAAAATCAAAAAATATAAATTAATTCTTTAGAAAGAAAGAAATTATAAGGATTAGGCAGTGTATCACTGGAATGACTGAATGAAAGATTGCCATAAGACCCAAGTATATCTTTATCAAAAAAGATCAACGAGGATAACGTCTAGCTCCCAAATGTGCCTGAACAAGCGCTTGCAACGGGGATTAGCTAACCGCTCTAGTAGGCTGACATCCTTGGATTCGAGTGCATTTACATATTTACCAGAAATTTAAAGCACTTCGTGTGTAATATAATAGTTAGTCAGCATTCCTCGCGAGATTAATTACGACTGCGTAGTGAGGTCAATACTCATTGCGAAGTTAACCCTGATCTGTACCCAGATGTATGGCCGATTGTGCATACCACGTACACTAAGATTGGATGTGCGGATGGTGTAATGATTAATTACGCGGATTTGTTAATCGGAGAGACAAGTTCTAATACCCTTTTGGTTTCGTCATATTTACTTGTGCGCTAATACACTTGGGAAATACTCATCCTCTCCCCCAGCTATGAGTTAAATATTATGATGCGTATATTTTGAAAAAATCATTATCTCAAAATAAAATTCTTTCAATCTAAAATTATTTTCTGGTCTTAAATAATCTGCAAAGGGTTCATAATCCGTAGAAAATAAATAAATCCAGAAACCCGAAAATTAAATCCACAACTTTATCTCTTTAATTATTTCTCTCATCGTTTCAAGGAAGCTATTGTTGATATTGGTACAATGTAAACCAGTACTACCTACCACATGGCCCGGTTATCGGTGAGTAAATCATCAAGACCCTGTGAAAGGGTGGATGTAACTATTCATGGGATCAGCGATAATCTTGCACTGGTACGGGAAGTAGAACTATTTGGTTTGGGGATGCGCCCAGGTGCATATATAAATATCACTAAGTATTTTATATCAAGCCGTCACCCAACTCGGTGCTGGCCATACTCAACGTTGTTTAACTTTGTGAAGAACGAAATATTTGTTTTACCGCGATATGAATCCAAAGAAGGAACAAGGTGGATGTATCCATTCATGGGATCAGCGCTGTAATCACTAATCAAAGTTGCTATACACTATCCGTCGATCAACAAGGGACTGACCATGCTAAACGTTGAACTTCACTGATCGAACGAAAACGATTTTACCGCGATATGAATCCAGTAGGAACAAGGTGGATGTATCCATTCATGGATCAGCACTGTAAGCTCACGAAGAGTGTTGTGTACAAGCCGTCGCTTAACTTAGTTGCTGACCATGCTCAACGTTGCTTAACTTCGGTGATCGAACGAAAGACGTTGTTTCACCCCGATATGAATCCAGTAGGAACAAAGTGGATGTATCCATTCATGGGATCAGCGGTCATCTAGCGCAGACATTTTAAGTAGAAATATCTGAGTTGGTGATGTGCCCAGGAGCACTGTATGCTCACTAGGAGTGTTGTACCCAATCAGTCGCCCAACTAGGGACTGACCAGGCTCAACGTTGCTTAACAGTTTCACAGCGATATAAGCCCAATTGGAACAAAGAAAAGAAAGCGAAAATAGAGAAATCTAGGTGAAAATGAAGAAGAAGTAAATAATGCAGATGTGTTTGCAGGAGGTAAAGAAGGAAAAAATCAAATCAAAATAAACGAAGAAAATACCTAATAAATAAAAAAGAAATAGAAAAAAAAAAGACTGGAATTCGCGAGAAATTGGTGGACGCTAAGACGAAACGAAGATAGGAAAATAGAACTAATTCTTCCAGCCGACTATTCGACTCAAGTATGATAGACAGAATAGGTTGAACGAACACTGAGAAGATTGTGGCCGGCTGGGTGACGTCACTTCCAGGTCATATAATATGTCAACTCGTTTGTCGGAAAAATGGTCAAAAAGTGATGCAATGGCTGCTGTCGGAATGATTTGATGAATGCCGGCACTTTTGATGGTGAGATGGCATTGCTGGAATAATGGTAAATTGTATGAAATGAATAATAACGTTTGGGGGAAAATAGATTGAATAAGAAATGGCGCAAAAGGATAAAAAAGATCCCCCCCACACACACACACATACACAAAAAAAAATCAGAAAGACTGTCCAGGAAAATGGAGATTAAATGGTAAATAAAAATGGCGTGGAAAAAAATCTAACGAAGGAAGATGAAAAGAAAGAATATAAAAAAAGAATGGAAGAACATGAAAAAGAAAGAAAGAAAATGAAAAAGAAAAAAAAAGAAACTCTGAAATGGGCAAAGTCACTAAAAAATAAATAAAATTCTTTTGAAAAGAAAAAAGAAAAATTTAAGGATTGTGTAAGAATAGAAGAAAAAGAAAGAAAGAAAAAAGAAAGAAAGAAAGAAAGAAAAGTGCGAAAGTGAGAAAGAAAATTTGAAAAGAGTGAAACAAAAGAATTTAAAAGAAAGAAAGAAAGAAAAGAAAGAAAGAAAGAAAGAATTAGAAAAGAAACTAGTGAGAAATAGAAAAAGAAAGAAAGAAAAAAAGAAAAAAAGAAAGAAATCCAGTTGAAAGAAAGAAAGAAAGAAAGAAAAATATAGTAAAATCTTGTTTTCTTCGTCAAAGAAAGAAAAGGAAAGAATGAAAAAAAATCTAGGAAAAGAAGATGAAAAGAAAAAAGAAAGAAAGATAAAAAAACAAAAAAGAAATTGAAAGAAAGTAAAAGATAAAGAAAAGAAAAAATTTAGTGTCAGAAAAGAACTTTGAAAGAAAGAAAGAAAAGAACAGAAAAGGGCGATGAAAGAAAACTTTTTAACTATGGTAAACTGATCGGAATAGAAAGAGGGAATTAAAGAAAGAAAAAAAAAAAGTTCTGAAATATTAGTGAGGAAAGCCTTAAAGAATTTAGAAAGAAAGAAAGATTATAAGAAAAGAAAGAAAAAAAATACTGTCTAAAAAGAAAGAAAGAAATCGTTGAAAGTAAGATTATGAGAAAGGCTTTTGGAAAGAAATATCAGAAAGAAAGAAAGAAAGAAAGAAAGATAACTAGATGATCAGATATTAATTACGGAAAGAAAGACAGAAAGAAAGAAAAGAAAAGATAAAAATATAAAAAAAGAGATAGATATATATATAGAAATTTTACAAAGAAACCTAAAAAGAAAGAAAGAAAGAAATAAAGAAAGAAAGAATAAAAGTAAAAAAGAAAGAAAGAACTTAAAATAAAGGAAAAAAAATAAGAAGAAAGAATATATAAATTTTTTTTGGATAGAAAGAATTGTCTAAAATAAATGACTAATTGAAAAAAAAAAAATAACTAGCGAGAAAGAAAAGTGTGAAATTAAGCGATGAAAGGAAGGAAAGAAAATAAAAAATTCTATGATTTTAAAGATAAATATGAAAAAAATTCACCAAATGAAAATAGGAATGAATTTAAAAAAAAGACAGGAAAACAAATAAGAAAATAAAGAATGAAAATCTAAAATTAGAAAGAATGTCACAGAAGCGAAAATAAGAATAAATATGAGAAAGAAAAAAGAAAGAAAACCTAATGCAGAAAAATAAGTTTAACTAGAAAGAAAGAAAGCCAATCTGAAAGTGGAAATGAATAAAAAAAAAGAAAGAAAGAAAGAAAGAAAGAAAGAAAAAGAAAAAAAAAGAAGAAAATTAAATAAAGAATAACAGAGAGTAAAAACGGAAAATCCTATTGATATAAGTATTATGTTAATTTATATGTCAAGGTGAACAGATTTTTTTATCAATAAAGTGGTTTAATTTTCCATACACAGCAATCTTCAATTTTTCTCCACCAAATCTAAAAATTAATTATTTTTCTAAATCTGAAATTCAGAGTCGTATGAAACCGCGAGGTAGAAATGTATATTTTGTTATTAACAGTATAATTCATTGTTTTCGATAACATCAATTTCGAACATGATCAATTTTTTTAGGCAATATTTTTGACATTTTTTCATATATATATATATATATATATATCCATATTAATATATATATATATATATATATATATATATATATTATATACACAATTTTGAAAGTATTAAGTTTAACATTTGAAGGCGTAAATGAGGGATAAGAAAAAACAAAAGAAGGGATAAGCAAAGTTTCTTTATCATAATCAAATTTAAACCAAAACATTATTTGATATGGGAATATGACATCAAATAATGATAGGAATCTTTTAAAAAAACAGCGGGGAAATTAATATATAAATATAATATATATATATATATATATGTATATATATATGTGTGTGTGTGTGTGTGTGTGTGTGTGTGTGTATCGAATGCACGGCTCGCAATTTTCGACGGATTTGCACCAAAATTTACATGCACATGCTCCAAGTTAGTGGGAAGGCCAAGACCGACTTTGCATTTCCCAACTCCCATCGATAGTGGAAATAATCGATTTTTTCATGCTTCTACGGCAGTTTTCATGTAGTTTGCGGCCATTTTCTACTGGCCAGAGTGAGAGCCTATAGCTGGTTGCCACGAATAGACAGGAAGATTCTATTGGCCAGCGTGAGAGCCAACAGCTGACTGACTCGAATGTTAACTAGCATGCAAAAGAAAATCGATAGCTGCATTCGTCACAAGTGGGAAAAATTGAAATCTACATGGCACTTTACTCCAATTGGCTCATTCGCTTGCTTAAACTCAATGTTGATTCTGATTCCGCAGAACTGGGTTGGGTGTGAAAAAGTATTTGTTGTTAACATTCTTTTTCATTCGGTTTTTCCAGTTACGAGTCCTTTTTAAAGCTGATCGTTTTGTGTTCATTTTGTTTAGTTCTTTTTTCGTAACAGATTTAATGTTTAGTATAGAGCTTAGAAAAAATTCGCAGTGTGAGATAGGCAAGAAGTAAGGCATGTAGCAACATCAGCACGGCAAAGGGCACTCCTTTAAAGGCAAGGAAGGCAAAAAATATTTTAAGTCAAATCATAGTGATTGCTGTATGAGTCGTACGATTTTGAATCAAAACGGGCAACGCCGGGCCATGCTGCTAGTATATATATATATATATATATATATATATATATATATATATATATATATATATATATATATTTAAAGAAAAGAGAAATAATTTTCCAACAAAAAATCAAATAAATAAATATATATATAAATACATTGGAAAAACAAATGGATCATTTCTAATTTTTACATACCTAAGAAGGATTTCTGTTGGAAAATATACCAACTATTTTTTTCTTTCCTGATTTAATTAGTGTATTCTTTCTCTATAATATATATATATATATATATATATATATATATATAATAAATAAATATGAATCGTTTGTCAAAGATGTGTATATTTAATCTGTGTCTGTAATATATATTAAGAACATAACCTCATTAGTATATATATATAGGAACATTTGTTTGTTTGAAAAAATCTTTTTCATTGCAGATTTACTTAAGAGACGAATAAGTCTAATGGTATTTAAGCAACGATGCAGTCACTTGAAAAAAAACAATGTTCTATAAAAAAAATTCGGAATCTGTTTCTGACGATTCAGATGAACACGGAGGCCTATATTTTTGTTTCAAAAGAGGATGGGGAATTTTGGGGTTCAACAGGGTGGCAACGTTGAAATTTTTCAGGATGCAAAAAGACTCTTTTCTTATACATATATAATTATCAGGAAGAAAAAAGATTGAAATTTCGGACAATTAATTCATTAATCTAAAACCTAACTCTTGAAGTGCAAAATGGCAAATATCAAGTGTGTGGGTTTTAAGTTGAGCGAAAGAAAAAAACTCCGTTCGTTTAAAGAAAAACAAAATAAATGATTATTTTAAATTCAACAACTTTTTAAGCTTCATTTCAAGAAATGGTTGCAAAAAATTTTGAAGTTGAAGAAATCAAATGGTTTAAGTCACCGTGAAAAAATTTTTTTAAAAATTGAACTCTTTAATATTTTAACATTTTTGGAACATTTTTTTTTAATATATTCACGCTAAAAATGAGATGTCATTGTTATTTTAAATTTTGCTAAATTTAGATAAAATTATCCATCCTCCGCTCTGTCATTTATATATATATATATATATATATATATATATATATATAATATAATATATATATATATATATAATATTGCATGAATATATATAAAAAAAATATATATGTATATATGATATATATATATATATATACAAGTTCTGTTTTGGTGTATATGGAATAAATTCCAATTTTCCAACAAATACTAAAAAAAAGAGAGCTCAATACAGAGTAGAGCAAATAATAATCCGGAAAATTCAAAAATTATAAAATAAAAATCTTGAAGACAAACACCATCATATTAAGTCACCACTATCTGTAAAACAAAAGGTTTTTATATTTTTTCAAAGTCAACAGTAAATAAGATTAGTGTTATATTTTTAAAATTTATTTATTTCTCTATTGTATCATGTTATTTATGACATGGAAATTATGATGAAAATAATATCAGTCGAAAAATCTTACAATTCGACTATATATAAAAAAATCATTAGATCTGTTTAAAATTTAATTCTTTTTTAAAATCGGTCCAAGTTATTGGAACATGATATATATCTTTTTTATAATATCTATATATATATCTATATATATTTATATATATATATATCATATATATTGTCATCCAGAGCGGAGCTGTATCACAGCTCATCATCTGTGGGGAACATTGTTTGCTTTTTCTTTTAGAATAATGTAATTAAAACTATATTGGTGTCTTTAATTCTAGTCATTAAATTTTTTGGTGAAAAGTAGGAAAGAATTTTAATTTAAAATGTATTTATTAATTATAGATAGACCTTTATTTGATTAAGAGAACTATATTTTTTTAAAAAGAATCTTGGTCTCATTATTATATAAAAAATATATCACTGTTTACAAATGATTCACTTTTTCCCATAAGATTCACAACTGAAATACTTTTTGAGGAACATATATATAAAACTCCCCATTGTGGAAAGAAGTAAAGTATACATGAACACCAGATATAAATTATTTATTTACAGTTCTTTGCAGATGTCTGTATGTTTGTCTCATGTCGACTTAATTGTCTGCAGCCAATTTCTCTATTCTACCTAAACTTCTGCTGCCTATTTTTTTACTCTAAGGAAACCGCAAAGCTCGATTTTCACATCCATCCATGTTCTGACAAAATCGTTTTGTTTTTCTTAAAATAAAAACATCTGTTTTTTTTCATGTTTACTAAATAATTGAAATATATATAAAAATGTTTCACAAAATATATTCCATTTGATGCGACGTCATTCTTGCATATAAAAGAACATCCACACGTTTGCAAACTGTAGATTTTTTGTTATGTGAAATCATATGATTAATATATTGTGTCTATCAATAGATCATTTCTTTCTAAAATCATTTTTCCCTTTGTCAATTCTATATATATTTTAATCTATAATATCCGGTCAGTAATTTCCTGAATATCTTTAAACAGCAGTATTTTATCCAAATACATTTGGATGTGTATGCTAATAATGTGATTATAAAGTTTGTATACATTATGCATATTGTATTATATATATATATATATATATATTTATATATATTTAAATTTACACTCAATAGGTTCCACTTTATACACACAAACACTGTTATATATGCATCATCTCGTACTAATATTAATTAATTTGTTAATATCTAAATTTTATTCTGAAAAATAACATTCTGTTCTCACAAAATTGCGTGATTCTATAGATAGATATACATCTATATATACTGATGCATTTAAGGCCTTCAAGCAAATAAGCAGTCTGTTCAATTCATTTACCTATTTATAAATACATATATATATATATATATATATATATATATATATATATATATATATATATATATATATATATATTTTGACTTGACTATACAAATTTAAATGAATGTAAATATTAAATATTTATATATATGTGTGTGTGTGTGTGAAGAAAAAAAATGTGTGTTTTATGGATAATCCAGCTTCCCAAATTCTGAATTATCAATGTTTTCCGTTTTTTTAATTTTATTCAATGATATGTCAGACATTTTCCCAAAGTTTAATATATTTATATTTTTTATATTCAAATTACTATACAGAGACACAATTCTAATAGTTGAACACATACACACATATATATATATATATATATATATATATATATATATATATATATATTTATCCATGCTCCACATATATTCATGTGTTTATTGAACTAAAGGATGGTTATGTTTTGAGGTCAAATGAAGAACCAGATTAGATAACGGACAGAATAAGTTAATCATTTTAATAGCAAAATAGCATGTTGGCTGTCAACAAAAGAAAGGAAGAAAGGAAAGAAAGAAAGAAAGAAAGAAAGAAAGAAAGAAAGACGAAGAATCAAATTGGAAGGAAACAGACGATGAAAGATAACTGAAGGAAAAAGAAAGCGAAGGAAATTAAAGACACGCAAGGAAACAAATAATGAATGAAAGAATTTGAATGAATTGAAACGAAATCATAAAAAATCACTTGATGTGACATGTGAGAAAAATTTGAAAAAAAAGAATTACATAACACTTTTTAAAAGAAACAAGGGATTGAAAAAGAAAAAAAAGTAAATTAAAAGGAAAATTAAATGAAAAAAGTACATACAAAGTTTCAAAATTTTAAAATCTTAACAAAAACTTGCAAAAAAAAAAAGAAACGCTAAACCATACTAAATAAAAATTGGTCTTAAAAATAATGGATGTAAAAAATCAGCCCCAAAAATACGATTCCTCTTTTACTTATTTATTTACATGAACTTCTGATGTTGCAGATTCTCCTGGCGTGTCTCTAGATAAATAACCTCCCCTCCAAATATGTACAATAAACTCTAAAACATTAATTTTTTTTTTTCAGTGTTGATTCGCAATTTGTCAAAATAAATTTTAGATCGGACGGGTCGACGTAAGCTAAAATCACCGATAATGCATATTCGATTGGATGTGTTAACAGACATCAAATAAAAAATTGATATAATTTGCCAGGTTAGACATGGGGTAAAATAACAGAACCTTTAACAAAGCCTTAAGGCCCTTTATTCTCATATTGAACGTTCTTTTTTTTTCAAACCCAGCTCTTAAGTTTCCAACTGAGATTTCAGAATGACCACAAAAAAACCACTTTTTGGAATCTATAGTCCATATGCTCTCCCAAACCAATTTGATATAAATACAAAAGTTACTCGCGCTCTATTTTTAAAACAAAGATTTAAATTAAGGATAAAATGAGTCCCGAAGTTCTATGTTTTTGTATATCTTGAGATATAGCTATTAACAAAGCGAGCCGTAGCCATCTGCATACACGCATAAACAAAGTAAAACTCGATGACCTGCGCTTTCAAAAACATATTGCCGTTTTATCGGTCTCAAAGCCGTAAGTTTGAATAAAAGACGTTCTTTTTGGGGGGCGTTATATTTAGCAATAAAAAATAACAAAGAAATTAAAAAAAAAAAAACCCTAAAAAAACAGTGGATGAGTCCATCTTTGGAATTTTTTTGATAAGATACCCAGTCTAAAATGACGTGCAGGTAGCATAACGAATACCAGCGCTGTAAATGTAATCGGCGAACCAGGTTCAAATTCCGGACTATTGAGGAAGGCATGAATAAGTTCCTTATCCCACCATCTCTAGTTTAATTTCATCAACGTTTTACAAAATAAATCTAACTTTAATGTGCTGCCAGTCTAAAAGAAGGAAGACTCCACATTTCAAACCAGAAAGAAGTCTACGGAAAAAAAACACACACCACTAACATTATTAAGAATTCAAATGAATTAACCTATAAATAATTCCTTTAATAAAAGCCATGATAACCCTATACCAGGCATGGACAATCTTTTTCAAATAATAAGCGACGTGAGATATATTTCATCCTAAGTTGGGTCGCGCTACTTAAAAATTATTTTCAAGCTAATTTTTCATTGAAGGTACCTCAGCCATTTTCTGTATAGAAGACCATACGCGTAAGCATCTATCTTGGAAATTGGGGGAAGTCCTTTTTTTTTATTTGGAGAAAAGATTATTTGTATAATTAAAAATTATAGTATCGATTTTAATCTTATCACGGATGAAAATGTGCGTGTGATTTGTTTCTAATGTGTTCATTTGGCGAGACGAAAATATTTTTTAAAAAAAAAAAATATATTTATACTCTGCAGTAAAAAAAATATTATAATAGACGTTTCCTGTTTCTGAAGCAAAACATGTTTACACGTATGATCTTCCTTAGTGAAAATTGACAACTGTTTAAATTATGAAAACGTTACCTTGAAGAAAAAGTTACAAAATTCAATAAACATTGCAATTAATTAATCTTTCTGTACGTTTTTAAGTACGAGACAATGAGAGTGAACAAGTGAGAACGAAAGGAAATGAATGTTATTTTCCTGAGTAAACTAGGTGGAACATTCAAAAAGCCAAACGGGTCGCATGTGAATGGCATTTTTGCCCATGGCTGACCTACAACCTGAAACGATATGGCATTAAAAATATGTGTTAAGGGCATTTTTATTTACGTGTATGAGTAAGAAAAAAAAAATTTTCTCTGCCAATTATTTTGGAAATTTTTTTTTTTATTTCAGACGATTTTTAAAAATTTGTTTTTAATATAATAACTAAGAAAATGAGGTACCTTGAAGTACCCGAACGGTGTGTAACATTTCTACCAGACGTATGAGTGGACAACTGAATTTGTTTCAAGCTCATAAAACGATCGAGAATATAAACATGTCTGTAGCAGATTTCGAATTTTATATTTTGGACGTGTTTATTCGTCTGTGTCTGAAAAAGTTACTTTCGGTAAAAGTTCAATAGTAAAACTTTATTTTCATCTTCTTAGTTACAGACGTATATACACGTCTACGCCGGGGAAGAGGTTAAAATGTTGCCCGTCTTACACTAAAAATTCTGACATTCCAAAACGAGTTCAATAGTAGAATTTTATTTTTATCTTCTTACTTACAGACATTTTCCACCCCGCCGTAACGGAACTTCCCTCAATCATTTCTATAAATATTTTCTTGGTAATTATTCTGAGGAGTTTTGGCACCTGGAATTTAAGAGCAATTACTAGATTGGCGGCAAGGTCTCATCATTTTAAAGTTGGAATTACTAGATGTAGCCATAAGTTCTATGGTGATTCTTCTCTCGCACTTACCACTAATTGAACTCACTTTCGCCTTCTTTCTTTTTAATCACCTTTGACCTTCAAAAATGTAAATGCAATGTCGATCGTCATCTTCTGTTTCCTTGGCTCATTTTCCTTTATTGGCCTTAATTTTTTTTTTCTTCGGAGACTTTTCACTCAATTAGCTCTCGCATCTTACAGACTTTAACCTCTTGCTTGGGTTGAAATTGAACAATACCATATCGATGCAAGCTCTTGAGTTAACAAAGTGAACAACTTAAAGTCAATTCCGTTATATTTTACTCACCTTCAGCTTATTTTTTTTACTATAAAACATTAAAAATAAATGTTAAACTAGATTTCAGTTCTTTTATTTTAATCTAAATATAACCCCCTTATATCCGGATTTGTAACCAATTCCTCATATACGGAAGGCCTTCTTAATCCGCCTGTCAGGGATTCTACTGTATTAAGGAGAGAGAATAATAAAAGAACAGAAATTAAGAAGACATAAAATAACGCTGCATTTAAATTTTAGGAGACTAATGTAGACTGAGAAGCAGGAAGCCGGAAGAGAGTTCCAAGAACGAAAGAAGAAGCTGTTAGCATAGAACTTACGGTTACATGTAGCCATTTAAACTTTAAAATGACGAGCCATCGCCAACAATGTAGTACTGCGGTTAAATTCATAAAAGAAACGTCCATCCGAACAATTACAATGAAAGTACTTATCGCAAATACACAGAGAAACTACATTACGGCGGTTTGAAAAGGACTGAACATGAGATACCAGTAAACGAATTTAAAAATAAATAAATAAAGTGTCTATCGTTTATATTTTTTAGAACAAAAGCAAAACGAAATGAAAAAAAATGTTTTGAATGACATTAGAAGAGAAAGAATCATCATGCAACAGCGATTAAAAAATCCTCGTTACATTATTTCTTTTGCATACGTGGCATACTTCATTTTAATGAATTTTCATTAACATTACATAATTTATTTTTTCTTCCTTAAAATCAGTTCCGTTATATTTCATTCACCATTAGCTTATTTTGTTTACTATAAAACATTGAAAATAAATCTTAAACCTGATTTCAGTTCTTTTATTTTAATCTAAATATAACCCCTCATATCCGAACTTTGTAACCAATTCCTCATAGTCGGAAGGCCTTCTTAGTCCGGTTGTCGGGATTCTACAATATATTTCTTTCTAGTTAGAATGTGTTTAAATATTTTAACTGCTGATTTTCTGCTGAAGTCTTCAAGTTGGATGGTTTTTGTTATATCGATAAGGAAGTCTCAATCGAACAGTTTTGAGAAAAAATAAAAATATAAAAGGATTCATTCAGCTGGAAGCCATTTTTGGAACACCTAATCTAAGAAAATGGCTTTAAATTTCAGACAGTTTAGACATAGATTGAACAAAGGGAGAAGAAAATGGATATTCATCTAGATTCGCAAACTTCAGGAATGGATGATGGAGCAAGGGGAATGCTAAAAACTTGCACGCATGGACATTAGAGGGAGTGAAAGAAAAAAATATAGACCCATATATCGGGGGACTGAAGGACAAGATAAATTATGAAGAGGAGTAGATAGAAAATGGCGATTGACGTTGCATTTAATTTTTTTTTTAATTGTAAAGACATTTAGTAAGCAAACAGAAGGATCCCACCAGGGAAGGTGCGAGAAAAAAACTGTTTAATTATTTCAATAGTAAAAGCAAATGGGACCTAGAGGCCAATCAGAAGAAGCACGTTTAAATTAATAAAGAAAAACAATTGAAAAAAAGGAGAAAACTCGTCGAGGAGCATTTGACATGGAAATATGTGACGAAAAGACAGGGAAGCTACGTGACGTGCATGTCCGTTTGTTTGAAAATACGAGATGCCATGTCGGGATCGATTACATTAGAGAGCCTTTTTTAGTTTTTTTAAGGAACCTCGAGATAAATATAGGGCCACCAGAGCAGATATGGCAACGGTATTCAACGCACGGAGGAATGATAGATTTGTAAATGTGCATGGACTGACGAGACAAAATTTGGCACGACACAGTAACCCAACGTTCCTTGCTATAGATGCAGCTAAAAGTTGACATCTGACAATACGATTTAAGAATATGAGTGACTTTTCTTTTTATTTTTTTTTGCCGGAGAGTACTATAAAACCTTTCAGTTCTATTTCCCTATAGAAAAGGTTTTGTACATGAAAATGATAAGTTGGCATTGTTATTAATTTTATAACAAATGCTGAAAAAAGAAATTTAACAACGACCAGAAAGTCATAGACAGAATAGTAAAGTTTCTCAGAGATTTTAAAACCTGATTATGGCCAACCCCATTCGTTGTAATTTTCAATGAATTTCTTTTCTATAGCAAAACAATTGACAATTAAATTTTGCACACAATAACCTTATCCTCTCAGGTTTTTTTGCGTTTATTTAATCTTGATCGTTGAAACTGGTTTTCATCCTAATTTCAATGCAGTGCAGCAGTAAAACCATTAAAAATGTATTTACATTATACATGAAATATTCTGCAGTAAACGGTTTTGTTACTTGTTTTGGTTACATTTACTGTTGGTTTTACGACATATCAAACACTGTTATTTAACGACGATATATAATATTTTACTATATTATATGTGAATATAAAATCATTTAATTTATTGGAAAATGGATAAATATGAACCGTACAAATTAGTGTTTAGATACTGTATGACCAATATATATATATATATATATATATATATATATATATATATATATATATGGTGTGTGTGTGTGTTTATCTTATATATATATATCGTTATATATATATATATAGTATATATATATATATGATACTAGTCCGTTTGCTTTGTATATAAAAATAAATTCCAATTCAAAAATTCTATTCTTAAAAAGTGTTCAATCACAGAGGAGAGGAAATATAATTATTTATTTAAAATTATAACATTAACATAGGAGCTTTTATCAAGTGATGATGTTGAATGTAGAATAAAGGCTTTTAAAGGGTTCAAATTGATTAACTACATTTATATATATATATATATATATATATATAATTTGTGATTCTCGTGTTTGTCACCAAATACAAAGCGTTATGATAAGCCCCTTGAATAGCTTAGTTGACATAAATCATCTTTAACAAATAGGCCAAATAATAGTTAATTCCAATAAGATTCCTGTTATTTACTGGTTTGTAATCATATACATACATATATATATATATATATATATATATATATATAGATTTTTTCCTAGAGAGAGAGAAATGAGAGAGAGATTTTCAGGTAACATAGAACGAATATAGTACAATTCAACGTTCGTAACATTTAAAGGAAAGAGGATCTTCTTAAAGTGTTCGATCTTATATACTTTATGATAAATATGAAACTTTTTTCAAAATTTAAAAACAACTGAATTTGTTTTTCGATACGTTTCAATGAAATGGTTCAGTTGTTTATCAATCGACCATGAGGAAAAAAAAGAAGTTGTTGATCTAACACGAGACCAGTAGTCAATTTTATCGTCGATGTAATATACTAAATTTTTAAATCTCTTATACTTATATGCAAATTATATATATATCCCAATATTATGTATATGAACAAAATATATAAATGTTTATATATCCTCGAATTATCTAAAATATATTTCCTTCTCTCTTCCTTGAGGTTAATATTGTGTTCTTTTAATAGGTTTATCTTGGTCTCATCATTTCTTCCTTATCTGAGTCATTCACTACCATCCATATGTTCGTCTTATATATACATTATCTTGATTTGAAGAACTTATCCTTTCTTCTCTGTCAAGATCTTCTTCCATCAATTTTCCTTCCATTTGGGGCTTTAATTGCTCAGAATATGCCATTAGTTTTTCCTTTTTTTGATATAATGGCCTTGTTATGTCCCCCTATGCATGATGAAATTAGCTCTCTTAGGATCTGATACTTTGTCTTCTTATACAACAAAACCTTATATTGATAATAAAGTAAATTTAGTTACACGGAAAAAATAATTAAGAATATATTATTGCTTTTTATTGTATAATGAAACCATATATATATATATATATATAATATTTATAAAAAACAATCCATTGTTACTAGGAATAGTTCGCACCCCTAAACAAATAAAACCATCTTTTAATTGTACATTTGATTGGAAATAAATACAAAAATCAAATATTTTTACATTACAATACGAGATGAAGAGAACAGATTTTGCACTTTGCTCCCAGCTCTATGACCAGAGTTCAAAGAAAAGCAAAACACTAGTACCACGAATGTTCTATCATTGAATGTCGAATGTTTCTATACAAGGAAACGACTAATACTAGTATTATGTATAGTAATTAAAGGAACAAACTCTACATATACTGACGCGTCTAATATCTGCTTTATCATTCGAGGAGCAGAAAATTTACTACACTTTGATAGCTGCTCGATAGCCAGCGAACGATGAGAAGTCTAACTCCAGCAGCACAATGAATGTCTATGGATACAGATGAGGAAAAGGCTTATATAGACGGAAAGTAAAAGACCTGTCATTTTACGTAGTTGGAATCCTCATTCTATCAAAATCATTTTTCCCTTTATTTATTTATGTTTTTACTTATTTCACCCCAAGAAAGGCAATAATGCCACTAAGACGCAAGGGACTACTGTGAGTAAAAAAGAATGTTTAAAACTTTTGAAGGAACCCTGATTTGTTTTGTGGAAAGACTGTCTCACCTCCTTTACATTTATTATTGTAACATGGACTCGTCCATCTGCTGTGTTTAAAACGTGTGTAGCAAACATTGGATCAAAGATGTAGCGTTTTTCAGTTGTGCAATTGTCTCAGAAATTATTTTATTCTCAGTCCATATTCTCATGTGATTAAACCTTTCTTCACTCAACCATTTGTGTCCAGTGTTTACCTTAGAGTCATAATAACCAGCAACTATGCGCGTTTTGCAAATTTTATAAGTAATTCCATCGATGGAGAAGGCAAGTCAGAGATGTAAAAAAGAAAAGATACTACACTTTGATCGCTGCTTGATTGCCAGGGAAAGATGAAAAGCATAAATCCAGCAGCACTGGTTCCTCAATCAATGAATGTCAAATGGTTTCTCATAAGGAAAAGTCTTATATAGAAGAGAAGAAAAGTAAAAGACCTGTCATTTTAAGTAGTTGGAATCCTAATTCTATCAAAATCATTTTTACTCTTTATTTTCTTTTTTGTTTTTACTTATTTCACCTCAAGAAGGGCAATAATGCCACTAAGACGCAAGGATCAACTGGGAGTGAAAAGGAATGTTAAAAACTTTAGAAGGAACCCCCGATTTGTTTTGTGGAAAGACTGTCTAAGCTCCTGTACACGTATTATTGTAACATGGACTCGTCCATCTGCTATGTGTAAAACGTCTGCCCATGGAACAGAGACAAAATGTGGGGCGCAGAGTCGTGGCGCTTTTCAGTTGTACAATTACCGCACAGAACTACTACAGTGTAACCCGGATATAAGAGAGTTGTCGGGACCGGAGAAGTCTCTTATATCCGGGTTTCTCTTATATCCGGGTTTGGTCTATTTTGTTTAGGTAAGTATGGGCTCTAATTTGGGACCAGAGAAAATTTCTCTTATATCCGGGTTCTCTTATATCCGGGTTACACTGTATATTCTTGATTCATATTTTCATATTCACTCAACCTTTTGTTTCCAGTGTTTATCTTATAGTCTCAATAACCAGTAATTATGAGCGCTATACGAACTTTATAACACAATCCAAAACAGGATATAAAGAATAAGCGTATACTCCAGTTAAAAAAAAAAGAACGGGGAGGTGTGTGAACCGGGCGATAGGCAAAGTTATTTACCCCTATTGAAGGAAAATAAAAATTTAAAAAATAAATGGCAAATAAAATTTCAGTGTTTAGACGGAGACGTTAGAAATATATAGTTGAAGCAGATTTTAGAAGGAACCTGAGACGCAGTCCTGAAGGGATAAACTTCTACTCCTATTCAAAAGACCGGAGAGGCGCGCGAACCGGGCGAACCAATTTACTCCGATTGAAGGAAAATAAAAAATAAATAGTAAAAAAAAAAAAAAAAATGTCATTGTTTAATCAAAGATGTTAGAAGTATATAACGGAAGTAGACTTCAGAAGGAACCAGAAACCCAATCCTGAACAAAAAAAAAAAAAGAGTGATAAACCTCTACCCCTTTTCAAAAGGTCAGAGAAGAGTTTGAACAGGGCGAGAGACAAAACTATCCACTCTTATTGAATGTAGACAAAGATATCCCGGCATTGTTTCATCGCAGATTTATGCAGAGCTATTCTCATTATTGCCTGCCCAAGTCGGCTGCGCTTTTGACTTGAAGGCGAAATTCAATATTTATTACTGTGTCTGCAGGAACCGCGGATCGCCTTTGAAATCCGGATATGTGGCGAGGGTTTTACTTTGATTTTCAGCATGAACTCTGTCAATTCAGTGGCGAGAGAATAACAGTTCCACATGAGCAGGGAAGGCTGCTTAAAAACGGCGCCATTATTGCTGCATTCGTTGATGCAATATTCTCGCCTCCGGTATGGGGATGAAAAAACGAGCTGCAGCTGCAAAAGATGCGGAAAACACTGCATATACGCACGTACACATGTCTGATCTCCATCCTTTTGTATATATATATATATATATATATATATATATATATATATATATATATATATATATATATATATATGTGTGTGTATATATATATAATATATATATATATAATATCTGTGTGTATTATTTATATATATATAATTGACTATATATATATATAATATATATTTCAGTTAATATATATATATATATATAATATATATATATATATATATATATATATATATATATATATTATATGTGTGAATATATATATATATATATAAATCTGTTTGTGTTTTTATATAAAAACCTCATATATATCTATATATCCAATTTTTTTATTTATATATATATACTTCCGATTATGTTGCTTTATGACAAAATAAAATTTTCAAAAGTTAATTTAGCAAGTTAATATAAATAAAATAACATAGAGTCGGAATATATATAAATATTTATATAAAAGTTGATGACAGTTGGTATTATTTGATAAAAAATTTTAAAGTTCTTTTCTTTTTCAAATATATATATATATATATATATATATATATATATATATATATATTGTGTGTGTGTGTGTGTGTGTGTGTTTAAGAAATAATCTTCATTCAAAAATGTACACACACACAAGCATATCTTCATATAAATGTTTATATATGAATAATATAGACATGCTTGTGTCTACTTATTTTAAATTGATCGTTTTGTCTTTGTAATCATTTATTGATATTATATAAATTCATAAACGAATATATGTGTGTGTGTTTTTTGTTGTTTTTTGTTTTTGTTTTTTTTTAATTCAAAACTTTCGACCTTTTTAAGATCATATCTTCATTCAAAATGTTTCATTAAATTATACTGATATTAACATTTATTTTTAAATGCCATCCTTTACATGTGAATCAATTTCCAGTCAGCTGTTATTACAATAACGGAAAGGCGCAATTCAGGTGGGGTTTTTTTTGTTTTTTTTGTTTTTGTTTTTTTAACTCAAAAACTTGAATACGGATCTTTTCGAAAATCCTCTTCAGTTTAAATTTAAAGACAAATTTATTTAATTGAATTTCAACTCAATCATCAGGTGCTCACTGAAAACTGACTGTTGGAAATCTGATCAGTTGTCAATCAACAAGCATGACACTTAGAATTGAGGCACCGGTTAGGAAAAGATATATTATTAATATTATATATATGTATGCATATATGAAAAATTTGCAGAGTGATCTAGTATAGATTAAATCTTGTTTACATCATTTGAATATAGAATACCAATATAGGATTAAAAAATATAGACGTAAATATCTGTTTTAATTATTGATTAACCATGGATTTAAGGAAAATTTCTTTAGTCTTATCTAATGAGAAATTATATATATATATATATATATATATATATATATACGTGTGTGTGTGGTGTGTGTGTGTGTCTGTGTGTGTGATGGGGTGTGGGGATTGAGTGTGTGGCTAGCGTGTACGCGTTATTGCATGTGATTACTGTTCGAGCAGTTAATAATCCATTTGTCTCTTTCACGCTCAATAGAGAAATATTTTTATATACACATATAAATCATATAACGTATATAAAATATATTACCTGCATATTTAATATGAAAATCAATACATCAGAATAAACATATCTTTAACGATAACATATATACATATATATAAATGTGTGTGTGTGTGTTATCGTTAAATACGGCTGACAAGTTACTGCAATTAAGAGACGATAGTTAAAAATTGTTTTTTTCCTAACAGACTCATCGACTACAAGATTAGAACATTTCTTTCAAAAGTAATTAATAGCGATACTGAACATAAAGGTAAAAACAATAACATTAACATCTTCTACAAAACCCAAATACATGTCAACTATAAGAAAGAAAATTTTTTACTAAGAAGTATCATAAAGAAATACACAACCTCAGTCGACCTGAACAAGAAAATTAAATTGTCTAATTATTGAGACCAAACGCATCCTGTACCTATATATATATATATATATATATATATATATATATATATATATATATATATATATATATATATACATATATATTTTATATTTAATGTATGTATATATATATATTTATATATATATATATATATATATATATATATGTATTATAAAAAATGTATATATATATATATATGTATATATTTATGTATATATGTATATGGGGTTGATATATATATTCTCAATATGTATATATATATATAAATATGCTTATAAATATATATATATATATATCAATATGATTAAATGTATATGTATGTATGTATATATTTTATATATATATGATATGTATATATATATGTATATATATATATTTATGTATATATATATGCACTATATTATATATATCGATATATGTATATATGATATATATAAAGATGTTATGTCTATATATATATGTATATATATATCCCAGATATATATATATGAATTATTTTTATATATATATAACCATGTATATATATATTGTATATATATATGAACTAACTTTATATATATATATACCCTGTATATATAAATACGGTATATATATATTTCGGATACTTTATATATATATGTATGTTTATTTATACATATGTATTTATATATATATGTATGTATATATATATGTACATATATATATATATCCCTCGTTTATGTATTTTTGTAGAACATATATATATATATATGTATATATTTTCTTATTATTTATATTAAAATATACATATATATTTTTATGTATGTATAATATGTATATATTTATATGTATCTTATATGTATGTATATATATATGTATATATTTGTTTGTTATATATATATATATATATGGGTATATATATATATATATGTAATTATATATATGTAGTTATGTATTATAGAGTATGTATATATATATATGTATATTTAAATTATTTTTATATATATATATATGGTATATATATGGTTGTATATATATATATGCGTATATATATATGTTATATATGAAATATATATATATATATATATATATATATATATATATATAGTGTTACGCAAATTTTTCAAAATATTACAAAAAGGTTTCTGGAATGTTTCTAACGTAGTTAACTAATGAAACTTTTAGTTTTAACAATCAAATACGATTTCCTCTACCTCACTTTTCTTGTACCTCAAATTATTCCCATTTGCCTCTACATCTTCCTCTTTCTAAAACTCCAGTCTTTTTCTTCTGCGTTTGACTTTGATCTTTTTCAAACTCTCATATTCAATAATAATCCCTCTTTTTCAGCCTCTAAGATTATTTCTTCTTCAGCTACGGATCTCCTTCTTCGTCAACTTCCAAATTTGTTCTCCATCAACTACTAATTATCCTCATCTTGGTTTGGTTTCTTTTGTTTTACGGTATATCAACCTCAATGGGTTATTTAATGCCGTCAAAATTTATATTGGTAATATTTTTTTTTCAGAAAGGCATTGCTGTTATTATTTATTTTCTACAAAAATGTATTGCAAATATTAAAACCTATTTTTACACTTTCATATTGTTTTGACAGTAACGACACCTGGTGTTCAATGCTGACATTATGCCATGTGTAGTTACTTCCCTTGCACGATGCACTCGATGAATCTGGCTCACCAGTAGATTGGTTTGGTTTGGTTTGGTTTGGTTTACGGCTTATCAACCTCAATGGGTTATTTATTGCCGCGAAGATTTTTATTGCTGGAAATATTTTTTTTCCAAAAATATATTGTTGGCAATATTTTTATAAAAATGTATCGTTTGTTTTGTTTTACTGCATACATATATACTGCATATCAACCTCAATGGGTTAATTAATGCCGATAGGATTTTTATTGCTGGCAATATTTTTTCAGAAAATATGTTAATTTTTTTTTCAAATCAAATATGTATTTCTGGTAATTTTTTTTTTTTTTTCGAAAATGAATTGCTGTTAATAACTTAAAAAAATCTCTATTGCTGGTATTAAAACCTAATTTTACACTTTCATAATACTTTGACCCCAGTTTGGGAGGTCACCTATTTGCCCATAGCTAGGAACTTAACAGGTGCTAACACCCCGGATCAGTTGTGGCCCTGGGAACACCAGCAATTAAGCAGTGTTCCACGCTTCTCAAAACTTCCTGATCAAAGTCATTTCTGTCGGACGTATTTAGTGTCTTACCCAGGACGCGGATGTAGTTTATCGTCATACCCTGGACCACATCTTCTTGAGGCTCCAATTTTGCTTTTCTTCAACATCTTATCTCCCACCTTCTTCAAACTTTGACCTCTTCTTCAACATCTAATTCCTATCTTCAATCTTTTCTTCTTGTTTTATCTTCTTTTACCCTTTCGGAATACAAGGTGCTGTCTGCTTGGATGTGCGGGTGGTGTAATGGATAATGGATCGGAATTGTTATTCGGAAAGTCGAGTTCTAATTCCCGTTTAATTCGTTATATTCACTTACGCTCACGGGTATCAGTCCACCTTACGCGCGCAGGTATCAATCCACCTCTTCTCCCCCAAGCTATGGGTTAATTAGTAAGTTTTTTGTCATCACTAAATTATTATTATCCCCCTCCCCCCAGAAAAATTAAATTCGTACAGTCTAAGAATATTTTCTAGTTTTAAATAAGCAGTATAGGGTTGTTAAACCGTAAATTAATAATAAATCAATCATATGCCGATTAGTTACAAAGGCATGTCTTTTAGATTTATTTGCAATCTCTGTAAATGTATATAAACTACTAGAAATATATATGAACTGCTATTGCCACAAAGTGAGGGATGAGTTTATTTATTGACTGTAATATAGAATTCATCTCACAATTTATAGCTACATTATAATATCTTGTTTGTTTATCAAATTCAGATTAGGTATGATTCCCCCTAGCTATGGCTTAAATAGTAAGACGTGTATCACTAAACACTTACCTAGAAATCAAATTCTGACAATGTAAAATTACTTTCTGGTT